TCCTCACAACTCACCATCCTATACAACAACCAAATATATAGAACAAATATTTGTCAGAACTTGAACAGTTGCTATTTTTTAATTCTGCCTGATGATAGGGCCAGAACAAGCCCTGAAATGTTGTACCAAACAATAAAAAGAAGATGAAACAAATATATATCTAAAGTCAGCCTACTTGTACTGCCCATCTCCATTGGGGTCTTCACACTTAGCCAGGATCTTGTTCACCACCGACTCCTGAAGTCTGACGCCCTTGGAGAAGACAATGGCCTTTATCTGCATCGTAAGGAATTTCAAGATTAAAATGGCATTTGGACTCTGAAATGAAAATATTTAGTTCAGTTCCAAAAGGAGATAAAATCAGCATCTTGAGACTTCTGCTTTTACATGATATCAATTATTTTTTATTTAATAAAAACCGATCATATGAATTTGTATAGTTTTAAAACTTTTCAATTAATTTTGAAGAACTAAATACTCTTCAGACTGATGGGATATATTCGGTTAGGGGTAGGCAAGGGGTTAAAGAGTTCGCTCGTCACGCCAAAGACCCGGATTCGATTCCCCACGTGGGTACAATTCACGCACGAATGCATATCTGGTGTACACAGACTCGATTAATTACAAACTGTCGTCATATAGCTGGAGAGTGGTGGTAAACAAGCAAGCACACAGACAACACAGGACCAATGGCGATGTTAAACATAACCCTAGGTCTGAGTATGTGTGTACATTATTGATAATTCATATTGAAGTCATGTTGTTCATAAACGTGGTCAATAACGCATCTAATAAGGTGTGTGTGTGTGTGTGTGTGTGTGTGTGTGTGTGTGTTGTGTTGGAAGACACTTATGTGATCGTCTACAAAGCACATGAAGCGTCATAAAATAATCCCACTGCCTCTGTCATTTTTTTCAGATGATGCAAAGGCTGACTTTAGATCTGATTTCAGCACCGAGCTTTTGTGCTCTTTGAGCCTAATGTCAAATGGGCGGGATGTCTTTCCTACACAGCTGCTGCCACAGTCACACGTTGGCACGTTGTAGTAGATGCAACCCCTGGGGTTGTGACTGGTATTAGGTGAAGTACATCTTCCATTGGCCTTCAGAATGGTTTTTAGTGTTTTGTCAGAGGCGAAAGTCACATCTATGCCGGCAGATTTCTTGAGCAGTCGGCTGATGTGGTGGCTGATTGGCCTTGGCAGGGAATGTTATTCTAGTCGGGGGATGGCTCGGGTTTGGGTTGGCTTTCTTCTTGCTGTTGGAGGGTCGATGCTATGGTGAAGTATCTTGTAGACAGAACCATAGCATCGATCCTCCAACAGAAAGAAGAAATGGGATAACTGTTTAGGTTGATGAATCTGGTTCTTAAATGGTCTATTTCAGCTTGGAGATGGTTGGGGTCGAAGATGGATTTGGCTCGTCTGGTCAGGGTTGATACAATAGCGCGTTTGATCTGGGGGTGATGGTTGAGAAGTAATGGTCAGTGTGGGTGGGTTTTTGTAGACGGAGAAGGTGATGTTGTTGGGGGAGTTCTGCAAGAAAATATCTTGGAACGGCAGTCCCCACCGAACACTGGCTCAAGCCCAGGGAAATTGATTTAGCACGTAATTACATTTGCTCCATTTATATATGAAGGCGCGAACAAACTGCAGCTGGGCTCCGTCTCTACACCCAAGTACAAGCGCAAATGAAGACCGGAGCCAGTTACCATCTTTCTTTCCAATATCGCGTGATTTTACGAGACTTTGTGTTGTCATTGGCGACTGTTGTCACTTCGATGTTACATCGACGCCATTTTGATGTTACGTCTGCACTTTGCTTTTCTGAAACCGTTATATCCTATCCTTGATTGCAATTCTTGAACCTGCCACCATGAATGCCAGCACTTATGTTCAAGGTATAATTCTGATTAAATTTCAGTAGATTATGCAGCTTCAAGAAGAAGTATGAAGATAGCTCTTAGTGATGAGACCGCATACAAATTACAATCACCAGTATGATTCCTGAACTGACTCAAAGACAATTTGCAACGTTTAGTGGCTCATGATGTTTAATGCATGACCCTTAATGTATCCTGAACTTGCAAACATTGAAAGTGATACGTGAAAATGGGTTCTCCTTTTAAATACTTTCAAAATGTATAAATAGACAATACCATTTGAAAATATAATTCCCTGTTTACCCTGTAATGTTTTTCTTATCCTTCTGTTGCCAAACAGTGGATCGGATGATGTGGTTTCTACAGCCTCTGTCTCCACTAACCTCCCCTGCCCCTTGTCCAGTAGGTGTAATGAGGTCTTGGCAGTGATTGTTTAGCACAACCATGAGTTTTGCTGAAGGGTTTCGTTGTCGGCATGGGTACTACAGAAGTGTGGCCAAAATCAAAATACAAATACAGAAACGTACCCAAGGACGAGTCCATTCAGCACTGTGTCAGTTCTGTATTTTGACTTTGTTTAGGGTACATTTGTGCATACATCTGGGGTACATATGTGTAGTACCTGTGGGAACAACGACCCCTTCAGCATGAGTTTTCACCTACATGTGGAACACTTTGGTGTAATGGTGCTCTTAATGTCCTTATGAATGTTAAGATGTAACTTTGGTTCAAAGACTCAAGTGACATTGTGTAAAATCTTCCTCATTTCCAAGAATATCCAGGGGATCACCTTAACTATCTACCTTCCCTTTGCAGTATCTGCCATCTTTCATTATCTACTTCATTTTACATTTGCATTTTTTATGTCTTCAGTTTGACATTTTCTACAGGTTCTAACACACAATAAACTCTGAATTGTAATCTCCCTTCTTACCTTTTCTGTCTCTACCACTTTAATCATTTGTTTGCTTAAACATTCAGAACTTGTTCCACATAACATTCTTTCCTCACATTCCATTCTCTCACATACCTCCCTATCTATAGCACCCCACTTCGAAGTCCCTGACCATCCCTGCCCACTTGTCTCACCTGCCTGTCCCCCAGACCCTTCGCCCCAGCACTGTCCCTCTGTGTCCCTCACCATTGCTGGTCAGTACATCGTGGACGATACCGACTTTGTTGAAGTCGACCTCCAAGATGAGATCATCCAGCCAACCCACTCTTTCCTGAAGGCCTTGCTATCCAGAGTGGCCAGCTTCTTCAGAAGAATCAAGAGTGTGTTTAAGAAGAAGGATGACTAGGCAGTGAACTCTGAACTTACACAAAACATTTATAAATTATTTTAGGACTTTTGAGGCATGTGTTACAATAATTAAGAAATATATAAAAGATTTTCCTTTATTTGTTTTCATGTTTTTTTTCTATGTTAATAAAATACATTCTTTATTGCAAAAGTTTGTTGTGTTGTAATTTCTTCGTCTAGTCTCCTACTTTCTGGACTAACCAAAGGCGATAAAATGTGTAGTTCAGAAGAATCAAGAGTATGTTTAAGAAGAATGTTGGTTTGGCAATGAAGTCTGAACTTCTACGTTTATAAATCATTGTTGCAACTGTTAAAGCTTTGTGTCAAGTTGTTCCAATGTACTGGAAATATATTCCTGGCATAAATTATTGGAATACTGAAATCATTGAGTAGAAAGCTGTATCAAGAACAGAAGAACAGTAGACACAGGCTCTGACCACCATGAACAATAATTCATGGAGTGTGGCTGACATACCACACTTGTTTTCCTGAGTTCATTCTCACACTGGCATCTTGGCTGTGTGATGCAAGGCTCTGAGCAATCGTGTACAAACTAAACCTGGAAATGCTAAAGATGGATGCCTTTTGAATGCAACATTTCTTCTTGATTTAATTGTCTCCATTTGGATAGACATGCATTGTTTCATCTTTAGCAACTTCTCTCTTTTTGGTAAGCCCAAGATACATATCAAACATTCAAATGCTTGAAAAAGAGGAGCTGGGTCTCATGTGTGACAAGTGAACACTTCAACTACTAGGCAACCCCAAACACACACACACACACACACCCCTGTGTGTTTATCTTGCAGTCTGTTTATGTTTAGTGTATGTAGTGTGACTCTGCCCCATAACATCATGATATTGATTTGAATGTGCAACTCCTGGCACAATTATCTTCGGGGTATACATTTTAACTTGGTGATAATACTTTGTGTACTTCTTTCCTCTTAATGAAATATGTGTTTTCATACTATAGTAATAATATCTTATATTCAAAATGTGACTATATTCTAACTTGATTCCAATTTTCAATACACAGTTGTTTTTCTTTTCCTTTTTTCAATACATGCTTGTGTTTATCAAATTTGTGCTTGTTATGTTTTCATTTAGTTTGCTTTGGTTAGTTTTTCATCATGTCTATGATTGGGTACATTTGCAAATTCTGCACTTTGGAAGGCATTGACAAATTGGCATGATATTCATGTACAAGCAGAGAACAGGCATGTTAACAAATTATATCATATTGTGACATAAATGTGCATGTACTGGAATCTGAATGGTTGAAAAACTTCATTATTTGGGATTGGATTCCGTTAATCTGACTTTTCACTCTGTATGAATACTGTATAATTACTGTTTAAAATATGACTCCCATTCTTGAAGTGTATATTTTGTCCTCAATCTCAAATTTGAAACTTCAATCATTCAGCTAGGTAATAATAATTACCACAATGATTAGTTTGATCAGTTCTTTGTCAGAACAACTTCAGGGAATGTCTTTCAGTGGCATTTAGAAGTTGCACACTTGGCTAAACAAGCGACCTGGAATACAGTTATCAGCGGCACACTTGGCTAAACATGCGTGACAGTTATCAAAGCGGATGATGTCATGCAATGTGTAATGATATACCAGTGACATTCCAACGTAACCTGAGAATATTTCTGAAAATTATTGCAATGTTGATGAACGTTTTTAATATTTATGCTCAGAAATTGAAACATCTGAAACCTCCAGCATACATCGTCAGTCTGCAGTCATGTGCTGTTTTATCTACAAATGTCAACAAACTTTCAAACATAAGACAAAACTACAATCATCTAGAAATACTCATTTATTCTACACAATACAGATCAGGAAATTATATGGAGAACAGTCGCGTAGTATTAAGGAGCACTTTGACATATCTCCAGATATTCATCTACATTCTTGGTTTTGTGACTTCCGTCCAATGTAGAATGGACCAATCAAGAACTGGCATCAAAGAACATATTGTCAATGCCAGGGTCTTAGCACTATCTATCTATTTAGGCCAAAATATTGCAACTAACTCTGAAATGGTATTTTTTAAGAATGTAACTTTTTAATCTAACAAATCTTTTGCTTTGGTAAATCCACAACACAAAGAATCTGAAAATTGTTCATTATCTAATAACCATTATTTTTTAACAGAATTTCCCCAAGTTCATTGCTTTGGTGGGAAATTTCCTAGCAACCTCCAAAATTGCAATGATCAGTCCCAATTTGGATTAAAACTCAGACTTCATTGCATCCAGAACTTGCATGTTTTACTTATATTTGTTAATTCCAAACTCAACATCTTGTTTGAACTTTAATCAACACCATGTACACAGACCAAGAGTGTCAGAATAATGTGGAGATAAGTAATCTTTGCATTATTATATCATTAGCAGACATAAACTGACCTAACACAAGTTTACTAAACTTGGACTTCTTACAAGTGTTTTAAGTAGACACGAGCAGTTTTCTGTCCCATGTTTAATATAGACATAACTTTTCCTAAATATTTGAAATGTCCTTTTGTGAAACGTGATGTCAAGTCTTTCTGACAAACATTTTAACACTAACATACATTCATATAGTAAACACACAAAAAGTATTTTCATAATGGAAGTCTTTTCTAACTATGATTTGTGATGTTTTAAGTGTAGAGTAAATGTACAATTTGAATTCACGACAACAACCATCTAAAGCATACACCAAGGAAGAGCCAGATTTCGAAAACAAATCTAGTTTTGCAGACATGTTTTTTTCCCACAAAAAGCTATAAGTGAAAGTTAATTGCTGCAACAGGCAAAATACAATGCTTTGTGTTTCTAAATTGCAGAGATTTACTGGATAGTACAGGTGTAGGTAAAACTGCAGGAAATAATTCACATTCTTTTGGCATTGGAAACTACGGTATATCAAGTGTCCAGAGTTAAAAACGAAATTCACAAGTCACTCTTAAAAAAACAACAACTTGTGATGGCTAGACAAAATGCAATATGCAGTGTTGAAAATTACTGGGTTCAGAAGTCTGTGAGGTTTTGTATGACATTTTATTCTGGGGACCACAAAATCTTAACTTCTTAACACGAGGATGAGGACCAAGACAACTTGACATTCATTTGTAAATTGAATATGACGGGAAAACTGAAAATATTTTGATGTTTGTCAAAACATAGCCTACTATTCATGCAAGGAAAAGCTTCCAGTATCATATACTACTCACAAGAAGTTAAAGAACACCTGACAGCCATGACAGAATAACTAGAGTCACATGGAAAAATATGTATGTTCCTTAACTTTTTTTGAGTTGTATATCATGTTAGCAACTATGTTATCTTGGCATGTGTGCAACAATAAAAAAAACCATAAAATATATAAAAAATATCACAAAATTACGAAAATTAAGATACATATTTTACTGTGGAATGTACAAATTGTTCAATCTCAGTGTATACCAACATGTGTATCACAGATAACTTAAGTATACATAATAAATAACTCTTTATATAAGCAACATATCATAACAGCCACATCATAAAATATATGTACACATTAATATTATGAACAGATGTGTTCCTGAGAATAAACTAAGTCAAAATAATCTATGGGTAAAATGGAAGATCTAATAAATAATAGGATATCACAGAAGATAATACATCAACATATAGAGGATTTTACTGTCTTAAGACAAACAAGGATCCTTCAATGGCACATGGGATGGACGAATACAGTCATCAAAGACAGAATATGATTTCCTTAAATATTTCCATAAATTATTTGAGCCAGACTAATTTCTAAAGGTTCTTTATGAACTGGCACCCTAACCTTTGCAAAAGCAATAAATAATTGTAAAAAATAATAAATAGTATTTTATTTATTTTTTTAAAGTAATTATTTTGTCAAATAATATTTTGGCTGTATTATTTTTTTAAAAGAGAGAAAACCCCAAAGAAATGGAATTAATTAATCCATTAAAACAAATTTCATCAAAGCTACATTTTGAGACAGTTTGAATGGAGTCTGTTGACACCAAAAATATCGGACGTAATCAAAGATTAAATCCTAGAGGTTCAAGTTTAAGATTTTGACTCATTTTGAATGTGTAATTTCTATTATTAACAAAATATGTTCAATATCTTATTACTTCTTGTACAATATTTACACAAGTGTACTTCATTCTTGCATCAACACATAAAGTTTTGAAGATCATTAAGCTGAAGAAATAAACAATGTTTTCTTCCTTGTCACAGTGTCAGTGAATATATCACCAGACATAAACTTGTCTCTGATTCACATTGAATATTATTTACAATAGTTTGTAAAAAAATATGGTCATCTATCGTAATGAAATAATGTTTCTCCATTTCTTAGCATTTCAATGAAATCTATTGATGAATAACAAAATCAGAAAAGGCAAAAGAAATTTGTCAAATAAATGAGGTCTCCATGAAACTCCAATTCTCCCCTATATTATCTTACATCAGGCATAAAGAGTGTCAGAAAGAAGTATAAGCCTTGGCATTTACTAGAGGAAATACTGTATAAAGGAAGTGGCCTGGTCACTAACACATCTGCAAATATGTACCAAATTGGGCTTAAATGAAATAAATTCAACGTTCTTTCTAAAATTAAAGTAGTAATCCAGTATGCAGACACATTCAGTAGTGCAAGTGAGTTCGTCAATCACCAGTCTCGCTGTCCCAATTTAGTCAGATACTTGTGGATGTTCACGTTGCCTCCTTGGGAGCAGTCGCTGAGAGTGTAGGTGATGACACTATCAGGAATGTCAAGGTTGTAGGAGCTGTTGTACATGTTGGTCCAGTTGAGCACCTCCTCTGCAGGGAGCAGTCCTGTTGGAGAGAACCAAAATGCATTTGATCATAATCTTAATAACAAACTAATTTATTTCACCTCAGCTTATTTGTATGGCCTAATTCATACATTTTTCTAAGCATTTTTCAAGACCCAAGATTTGATTTAATGGCATTTGAACCTGACATTAATAACCAACCTCCTGTGACAGGAAATTGAATGATAGGTTTTCAGACATCATACAGTTTAGTATGACCGTGTTTATTCTTGCTATAACGAGGTGGGTTGCTTCACACACGCATTGTAAATACTCTGATAAAGGCTGGTGTTTAAGATGAAGGATGGGGAAGCCACATTAACTTGGTGCGCCTAGTGGCTGCACAAGTTGTATGATAGCAAGGGAGTTGAGATTGAAAATACGATACCCAGCTGAGATTGACATCCAATGATTGATAGAAAACTAAGCGCTTTGAGCATGCATGTAGTAGATGGACTAAAGCACTATATAAACACCCATATAATAATAATGAAGTTGTCTGTCATAAGTAATTGAAATGTTTAACAACTGTTTATGCAATAATCGAGAAAACAACGAATGTCCTTAGTTAAGCATCCAGAAACCCATGGTACAAGGATGTCTGCTACAACACACTGACCTGAGCTCCTGGAGTCCTGCTTGTACAGGGCATTGGCAAACTCCATGAACATCTTGAACCATGGGGAGTCATCTCGGGGTGATGCAAGTTTTTTCTTCATCACCTAAAATAGAGGAACACTTTACAGTGAGTTTAGTTTTACGCCTCTTTTAGCAATATTCCAGCAATATCACAGCAGGGAACACCAGAAATGGGCTTCACACATTGTACCCATGTGGGGAATCGAACCCAGGTCTTCTGCGAGATGACTGAACTCTTTAACCTTTAGGCTACCCCACCAACACCTTACAGAGCACACACACCAGAAGTATAATTGGCTATGAAGAGTGTTGGAGTATAGGTGGCCCAAGTAACTTGCAGAGTTGCCTCCCTTTGATATGTCTGAACCCTGTCAGAGTATGTTTGAATCTAATTCACCCTGCTATGTGTCTTATGATGTGACCAAGATATACTGCTTATATTGCTCCCAATTCTCAGGTATATTTGCCAAATATTGAGTTTATACAATTCAGTATCTTTACCATGCCTCCTGTAACTTTCCATCTTTCCAATCAATATTACATTTATCACCAAATAAATCATCTTACATACTAGCCTAATCTCATATCAAAGCTAACTTCCATCAAGTACCCTTAATGTGTAAATCTGTCAAAGATTTTGTGGGATATATAGTATTTAAGGAGAAAAATACCAGAAAAACGGGGGATAGCATATGGGGTTAAGGCGTTAAAACTTGTCACTGAACAGGCTCAAGTTTTGTACCAACATATCTGTAATGTGAAGGTGTCTAATGACATCATATGGCTGGAATACTGCTGAAGATGTCTTAACAACCTCATACACAGTGAGTGTACAGTGAGTGAGTCTGGTTTACAATGGCTGACTACAGCAAGCACTGACCTCATACCCAGCCTCCAGATGCTTGAGGTTGTTGTCCAGCTGTTGTATGGTTTGTCTGTTGCTCTTCAGCTGATCTGTCTCCTTGTCATACAAGGAGGTCTCATTGCCATGAGGTGCCTGAAACAACAGATACAATGGACCAGTGTTCCATAGGTTTTAAGTCCTATAACAGACTAAAACTATGATTTGAAAATGGTTATCACAGGAATATGCTTGCAATATGGTTTTCAGTGCACTGACTGGCAACACCCATTTCATTGTAAATAAATTGCTGGCTAATGATATATTACCCAGAGTAATTAATACATGTAGTGGGCAGTTTGACTGTATAAACAAGCAAGTGTTTACATTCTGTTGATTCAGGGTATTGACTCGAGATTATTCAGAAGCGGGAAGTGTCAATCAGTTTCTTGTTAATTAGTGAGTGTACGTGTCACTTACATAGAGGCTTAATCGTTTGATGGCGTGTATCGTTCGAAAAGCTCTGAACATCAACAATATCACTGTACTCTTGCCGAGTATTTTTTCACATTTGTAAGAAGCGATTTTATTGGATAAAGATTGGTTTCTAACGACGCTTTTCACTACACTCTGCTTATAAGGGTCGTGATTGGTCAAAATCAGACCGCGTGACCTAAGCAGCCAATCATATTATGGAAATGGATACCGTCTCGTGAAAGCGAAAAGTTTTAGATTAAGGCGAAAGTTTTGGGTAAAATAATGCTATTCTGAACATATTAAGAAAGACATCGCTACCTATATCGTAAATCATGGAACGTATTGGACGATAAGTCATTATGGAAAAAGAAAAGAGTCCAATCTGAAATATCTCCAACATTGCTTTACTCCTGTTATTAGTATTGAAATTAATCTTTTAGTCTTTTAATGTGGGGAAGAATCCTTATTCACCCTGATCATGTTCCAAAGTTAATCTCACGGGTTTCACTAAATTTGGTAAAGGTCTGAGACCCACATCACTCCAGGCTTTCCTCCCACGTTAAGCTGACATGCCATGGTGTAACTGCAAGCTGAATGTTTCCTAAACATCAAGATCAGTCAAACTATTCAAAAGACAACACTTACATCCTTCCTCCACAGTGGTGTTATAGGCAGGGCTCCCTGTTTGACAGCAGGGTTGTTCTCTACAGCTCGGGGCCAGCTTGTGACCGGAGAGGGCACCTGCTTAGCATACTCCAGGGGCTTTTTACTTCTGGGGATGTGGAGGCCAGTCTTTGCTGGCTGCACCTTCTCCAGAAACTCCACAAACTTTACCCAGCTAGAAGAAAAGACATACGGTATTTGTCAGAACTAGAACTATAATATTTCTACAAAAATATTAATACATATGAACATATTTTAAACATATGGCCTATGGTGTATTGCATCATATTGTACACTATTCCTCACAACTCACCATCCTATACAACAACCAAATATATAGAACAAATATTTGTCAGAACTTGAACAGTTGCTATTCTTTAGTTCCACCTGATGATGGGTCCAGAACAAGCCCTGAAACGTTGTACCAAACAAATAAAAAGAAGATGAAACCAAGAAAATTATATGTTCATATATTATTTCTGCACAAATATTAATACATATGAATATATTGTATCATATTGTACACTATCCTACAAGTCCTATACAACAACCAAATATATCTAAAGTCAGCCTACTTGTACTGCCCATCTCCATTGGGGTCTTCACACTTAGCCAGGATCTTGTTCACCACCGACTCCTGAAGTCTGACGCCCTTGGAGAAGACAATGGCCTTTATCTGAATCAGAGAGAGTGTCAAGATTAACGAGGCAACTAGACAAACTCTGAAATGACATTATTTTAATAGATTATTACATTAGAGAAGACTCAGAAACTGTTTTCATTTGCCAACTATTAATACAGAGTTTCAAAGACAATAATGGATGTATGTGCTTCAGGGTCTGTATGACAGACAACAAGTCAGGAAGAAGATATAAGTATATATCGTGTAAGCTCATGCTTAACAAACTTAAAGGAGCCCACCTAAAAGTAAGAATTTCTAAATATAAAACATAATTCTACATGCTGCCACTACACATACTTTTCCATTCTATGGCAATAATAATCTATTACGGTATTTTGCCACCTAGGCTTTATGACACTGATGTATACAGTTTGATAAAATCTGAAGTAACCATTTTGACAAAAGCTGGTCTTGAGAGTTATCTCCCTTGTCTCCATCATACCTCATCGGCACACAAAGTTTCTCTCATTTCCCTGTCCGCTGCCTGGAAGCGTGCCACCAGGCCCTCAAAGTCGATGCCATCCTCTTGGAGTTGCTGTTCAGCCATATTCAGTAATTTCCCAACATTACTGTCATAGTATGGTGACGATGGACGACTTGCTCGACTAGAAGACAAAAACAATGTAAAATACTATCAATTCCATGCAAGAGTATCACTTCATGAACATATTTTAACGTATCATATGTAATCATTGATTATACTTGACATGTTGGTCAACCAGCCTCCAGTCTCCCATTATATTAAAAAAAATACTTTCATGCATAACTCCAAATCAATTTTAACTGAAAAGTACTTTTAAAAAATTGAGGTTAATATGCATAATAATTATTAAACATTTTCAAGTCAATAAACTAAAATGTTATTAAAGACTGATAAAGAAGGACTATATCTGTTCTGTCCATGTCCTGAGTTTTTGGACACACGACTTCATGACAAAAGACATCCATTAACAATCTACATGTCAGATTGAATTACCTGTATTGCATGCACCAAGTATACAAAAATATTCATGACAGATATAATTTCAAAGGATTGAGAATGTTGTTTTACACGGCACACCATAACACCAGCACCAATATCACAACCAATCCAACACTCAAAAGCAGTGATAAAACAGGGTGTAAGTCAATCAGAGGCCACACCAGGATTTGGAAAGTGGGAGGGGGAGAGATGTGGGGATGCACACAGCTCACATTGCAATGTGAACTAGAATTCATGAAGGAACTGACAATGGGTGACATTATCAGAAAAAGAGAGAGTGCATCCCCTGCATCAGGGCCTGCCAATGTTTGTGCAAGGATAGTGCAGCATTGTGCATGTATACAAACATATTTACTGCAATAATACAATGGTCAATGTTATAAGATATATATCAATATTGTATGAAAGATACAATGATTCAGATCCCTGGAAAGTGTCAATGTTTCATTCTTTGCTATTCAGAACCATGGATTGTAGATTGTAATTTTCTCTCATCTACAAATATAGAAATGCCGCCCCCATCCTGATTGGTCGAAAGCTACACATGATTGCACACATAATATAGAGCCATGAATATGCGATTATGGTTCTCAAATACTGGAACATTTCAACCAGTGTTTGAAACAGCTTCCTATAGAGCTATTATACAAGAGCCAGTGATTTCCAAATTGGGCTTGTAACACCAGCTTTGCATCTTGTTTAAATCTCTAGTCAATACATATGTATTTCATCAAGTCAGTTGAGGCATCATTTAATCTCAAAGTCTACTGCCACTTTGTAGTCTATCAGAAGTGTTTGGGGCTAGTAAGCAAGCCATCCTGGCATTGAAAACTACCTCAAGCACAGCTTCCAACTCTACTTCCATCTCACAGGTCTCAGTTACTGTCAAAGGTAAATGTCTGACAAGCAGCAATAATGCTTTTCTCCCAGCAGCATTTATCAAATTCTGGTCTACCTGTAGCAATACTTACGGACTCCACGGCCTGGGACCGTCAACATGATTTGTGTAGTAATGACCTTGTTTACCAGTTGACATGTATGATCGAGGACTGTAAAGTTCTACTGGCAAACTGGACAGGAGAGAAAACATTCTAGCCATAGGAGAAATGGTTTTACATTTTTATAAAACACAAAGCGTCTCCAGAACAGGTAGTCATTGACACAGTTCCTTTTTTGATTTTGTCTTGATTATTTTCTAGACTAGAATAAATTACAGTTGTCAGATGTCATTTAGTTTGTCAATAAATCCTGAACTTCAGGTCAGCTCCAAAAGAAGATAAAATCATCCTTTTGAAACTCCTTTATGCAATAGCAATACTTTATTTGATACACAGATCATTTGAATTTGTTTTCTACAATTACATCAAAATACTATTGTACTAGTTCTATTAACTATTCAATTAATACTGAAGGACTAAATAGTCTACTGTCTGAAAGACATGTTCTATGTAAATAGTGTTTAACTAGACATGGGTGGGTAAGTGTGCTTGTGGTTAACAGACCTGTCAGCTGGAGACATAGTTTGATTCCCCCCTGGTGTCCACTGCGTGATACAGCTGGAATATTGCTAACGGCAGCTCACACCACCTCACTCACACTAACCAAGGTTGTTACTCAAGGATTAATGCTCTACTGGTATCATGATAAGCTAATGACTATCTTCTTTGAGAGGCATTTCAGAAGTTGGGAAGTACAATACTGACAAATTTATGGACAGCAACTTCTTTTACTTCGTGATTGCGACATTTCGGTACAGATTCCTATTGGACAACGGTATAAGAACCTGTACTGAAAGGTTGCACTCACAAAGGAAAAGAAGTTGTTATCCATAAATTTGTCAGTATTGTAAAGACTATCAGCTGTTACAGCAGGGATACTATTCTATAATTAATAAATCATAAGCCTATTAGTAACCAACACCTCTCTTATTAGGATAATTAACAGTCCATTGTTCCACTTTTAACTTAAAATATGATGAGTGAGTCAAAGAGAGACATCTCAGTACACAAGACCTATGTGTTATTGAAGTGAACACATGTTATCAAGTGAAGTTGAAGTTATCAAGTGAGGTAAGTTCATGTTCTTCCTAAAGAAAATAGTATCAAAAGTTTAAACTTGCCCCCTGCTGCCAAATTGATGGAAAATGTTGAAATGACTGAATAAACATAAAATAATGGCAATGTATTATTACAAAGCATACCATATTTTCAAATAAGAATCCATTGTCCTACTTCAGAAATTTCAAGAATGATCTCAATAGGGGATTAATTAAGGGGCAGGCCAGCACTGAGTCAATGTCTGTATGAGTGGTGTATCTGTGTTACACTCCAGTGTGGTATTTCTCAGTATTATCAGTATTATAAAGCATTAGTACAAAAGCCACTTACACATGTGTATGCAGATCGCTGTAGAGGTGATATATTTTTGTAATGATGTTAAACGTCATCTCACTTTTCCCCAACACTATTTTCCCCTATCATTTTGAAACATTTTGAATGTGTACAAACCCATGAAATACTGATGAAGGGCCAAATCACGGTTTGGTATCTTAGCTCAGTCAAGAAGAACTGGTAATGTTCTGCCATTATACAAATAATGCAGGCTAAGTAAACTTAGGCTCAGTATTATTTGTTACACTGCTATACTGAGTCTAAACAAACCCTAGTAGAGAGTCACGGCAGCTAACCTCTGACAAATGATGATTCTTGATGAGGTCAGCATACAAACACAAGGACCCTTACATCTGACCCTTTGGTGATCTGACCGACCTCAGTCCAACAACTCGGGGGGCAGATCCTTTGGTGTTTGATTTTTTCATATTGTTCCCATAAAGACTGACTGACTGACTGAGTTTAGTTTTACGCCGCTTTTAGCAATATTCCAGCAACATCACGGCAGGGGACACCAGAAATGGGCTTCACACATTGTGCCCATGTGGGGATTCGAACCCGGTCTTCGGCGTGACGAGCCAACGCTTTGACCATTAGGCTACCCCACCGCCCCTGTTCCCATAAAGAGTAATAATTTGTCATACCATACCAAAGTCATAAAGATCCTATAAACTATCCTTTGAACTGTCCTGTTTACAGTAACAGTGAAACCTCGAAACCATGAAATGTTGGCACACAAGAAACCATCTTGTAAAGTTGGATTGATGAGAGTCAATATTCATCACATGACAAGTCAGTACTTACCATGTGACAAGTCACTATTCAAGGTCAGAGTCAGCCATGTGCTTAGAGGGTTTACAGCGACTGTTTTGTCATGTGGTACAGATTAACCAATGATATCGCAAGATTCACAATAGAGGTATAACAATATGAAACATCTCTGCTCTTAAAAACAGAAGTTAACATTGACCATTTTATGACTGGATTGTACAGGAGAATGTTGGGACACATGATATGTGATAGTCAGAGGGATCTGATGGGATTACCTGTCTACATTATTGTGAAAAACATCCCAAAATGTCTTAAACATAACACTGGTCTGAATTTTTTACAATATAGGTTTATCATAAAATAATGACCAGCACCGCGTGCTTTGTGTAAAATAGAAACATGCTGCTATCTATACAATTTGAAAACTGATAAGTGGAAATGAACAAATTTGTGACCCCCTTGGCCTTTACAATGCATTGTTAATAATAACTTTGAGTCAGTGAGGCTTGCTAAAATAGAAATGACATGGGGCAACATGACAGAAGATTACAAAATTTAAGCAATGGTGTATTCAACCATATACTGAAAAAAAGAAGAAGTTTCATTTCATTTTTTTACTAAGTATAATTCTTACTGCCTAGTGCCTCCTGATTAAAGGCCGTAATCTGACCTGCCTCCTGACTACTCCATCAGGTCCCTCTTGTATGTCAGTGCAGTCACAGCAGTCTCTACTGTAAGGGTTTAAATGGGGATGTGCATAGCAACAGAGAAACCATGGCAACTGATCAACAATTCAATGCGTATGTGTTTGTGGTGGATTTAAATATCTCTAATAAAATATAACACAATGTTTTGTGAAGGAATTAACAATGTAAGCCATCACAGGCACATTTTTTGATAGAAACTATATCTTTTCAGTCTTATTTAAGAATTAAATACAAAAAATGGTTGATCAGTTGCAAGAATATCAGTAAGCCATCACAGAATAAATTATCCCGTTTCATTGGCTGACTGATATTTGAAGTTATTTGAAAGATTCAAAGCACACAATATAGAAAATAGTCAAACGTTACCCATTGGTGTTTGATTCCTTCATTGAAGTGCCGATGAATGACAGGAATTTCTCATAATTGACTTCCTGTAGTTTGGTCGGAGATACAAACATGGAAGCTATCAAACGCAGCAAGTCTGATGAAAAGGTCAACTGAAAACCAAAATTGTTTACTCTGAATATATGTATCCATTGAAAAAACATGCATTTTGTTTTCTGTTACTTTAAATAAATTAAATAAATCAATTCCTATAACTTTGGAAGATCTTTTCTCTTTGTTTACATGTATTCGTGCGTGCATATGTTTGTGTCAGTCTGCCTGTCTCTGGGCTGGAGGTTTGGGGATAAATGATGAGATATTACAGATTTTTCTGTACATCAAAAAGTTGTGTAAGGGTTAATGTCCTCTTCATCATTAACTTTCAACCCTAAAGGCATCAACTGAGAACATCTAAATCCCTATCACCTAGAGAGTAGAAGTGCTACCTCACTTATACCATGTGGGCTACAAATGCCATGTGCTTTGCACTACAATGCAGAACCTTGATCCCAAGGCTTGATCCCTTCTCACCTAAAGCAAATAGTCCAACTTCTGCACATTGCATGCGTTCGTTTTGAAGAATAACAACCCACCGAGTGATTAAGTGAGTATGGTTTTAGGCGATGTTTAGCAATACTGCCCCAATATCATAGTGGGGGGCATAAGAAATTGGCTTCACACGCAATATCCATGTAGGAGATTGAAGCCTGATTTTCAGTCTGATGAAGGAAAGCTTTAAGCACAAGGCTACCCCGCCCCTAACAACCCAAACAGTGGACATAAGGCACCCAGTTAGTGGTATAACTGGCGTTATTGCAATGTGCACATGGCTTGTCAAGTCAATCTTGGTTTTAGGTCAACAAGGATTGTCTCTCGAAGTAAACCAAATGTATAACATATTGCCATATCAATGAAAAACAAAATATAGAAACATTATTCCTTGCACATTATTTCATGTATCAAGTTGAACTTTCAAATCTTATCATCTTCATTAGGACTAAGATTTTTCAGGTTACAGCGCAGTGTCTTAAATCGTTTTCTTTTCATTTTCTCTGCCGAGAAATATATGTACTGATGACACAAAACTGTATTAATAAGATCTCTTGGGAAAGAAATACTGATAACTGTTTATTTTTTCTTTGCACTAACCTTGGAGTTTTTGAGAGAGAAAAATACATTTTTATAATGGCACCATCCACTCAGCGTTCTGTCATAGTTCTCTGTAATATCAAGATATGTGTCTTTTAACTTGGCAGGATCAGCTCCTTGAAGCTCTGCAGAAACCATCTTCAAAATAGTGGCTTCTTCATCCCTTGTTAAGCCAAGAGGCTGTTCGGGCAAAAATGTATCTTTGGGTAATAAAGCCAAGAATTCGTATTTCCTATCTTCCAGTGTCAATGATCGACGGTGTATTTCTGGCTGGTAATCCCTTCTTTCCGATGGCATGGGGTCATAAAGTGCTGGGCTTTCCCGACCGTTGACAATTACACCACTTGGTCCACCACTGTAGCCACCACCGGTACCTCCGTTGTAGCCACCAGGACCCCCAGTGTAGCCACCAGGACCCCCAGTGTAGCCATCATTGTTGTAGCCACCATTAGTGCTGTCAGTGTTGTAGCCACCAATACCTCCATTGTAACGACCACTGGTACCACCATCGTTGTAGCCTCCACCAGTACCACCATTGTTGTAGCCATCCCCGCTTACACCAGCATTGTAGCCACCATCATTGCCACCACTGTTATAATTCTGTCTGGTGTCGTAGGGCACCTGGACTCTGGTGCTGTTTCCATTTGAGGTGTCTTGGAACCTTCTAGTCCAAGGCTCTGGCTCAAAGACAGTGGAGCTCTGGTTCTTGACTTTATTGTGGTCAATTGGTGGCAGGCTGACATACCTTCGAGCCAAGTCTTTGGAATCAGGCCGTGCTCGTGCGTAACTTGTTGGTTGGTTGTACCCAACATTGAATTCCTGAAACAAGGAAGATATTTGGGGTTATTAAATGGCAACATACAAGGGACATGTACTCTTACTTTCTTGATAAAAGTACTTAGGAAAAAATCACTTAAAGTCATTGTAATATACTAAATATTTTTGTATCTGACAAACTAAGAACCACTTGTTCAATGGAAATGGTACCTGTGGGGTCTAATCAGAAGCTGACGAATGTACGTTGAAGGTCTTGAAAGTTGGACGGCAATAAAGTCTCCTGACCAAAGTGGTCAAGATTTACCACACTGATACAAACAAACATGATGCGTGTCTACATGCATTTTTCCCCAGCATATCTATGCTGTACATTAATTAATCACTTTGTTTGGAAGAGGACATAGTAGTTAGTCACATGCATCCTTGAGAAAAACATAAAAACTGAATCCAACTGGAGTCTGAATGATTTGGGAAGTCTTGTCCTAGGTTCCATTAGGATTTATTGCAGTTATATTTTGTAGATGTATATTCATAAAGATGATGACCTTGTTTCTTTGTCTGAGGATATGGCTGTATTGCTGGATAAGAATCATATCTGTATATTTATCAAGAAATGAGTGATTGTGACAATGTGACAGAGAGTGCATAGATAATAGGTGTAATCTAGTAGGATAAAGATTCACCAAAGGTTTGATTGGTGGAGTGCCATAGTTGTGCCTAGATACAAGTATTATATCCTGATGTCTTTCACATGTCACTTGACAGTGTCTAGTTGTGTCTGTGTGGTATTGTATTCTTGCAGTGATAATCTGATCAGCCTGATATAATAGCTTTCCAAATATGTTTTCAAAACTTGGGAATCTGGATACCCAAGAGTGAACTTGTGTCCTATCTATTCTGAACTAGCATATGTTTTCTATTGTACCCAACTAGCTAGTGCTTCAGTTTTCAGAAGTATATAATTGTGCAGCCCTGGATGTGTGCTTGGTGCTATACACACAAATGAGGTACCAGTATATACTCTCTCTCTAACCTTGTCAACAGCAGGACCAATAACTGTAACATCATAGGGATTCGAACCACCAGCACCCATCCCAAAGTTGCCCTAGACACACAATTGACAAGTGGAACTAAATCTGATTGTTATTTAATATTCAAAAATTAAAAAATAAACACCAAATACTACCAAATATCAATTTCTTCTTCACTGTATTTTATATTTTTAATTAAACCATTCAAAAACATATTTTGTCAACTATGAACTTTTCACTACCAAGATCCAAACAGTTGAGAAATGTACTTAAATGTTCATTATTCAGACCTACAGACCTATTTCGATAGTTTTTCTCCTTTTATATTATAAAAAATGTGGCTTACATAAATAATTTGTATAAGAATGTAAATTTGAAAGGCATGAAAAATACTTTACAAGATGGTCTGTAAAATACAATACAAAATAAAAGAAAAATAGCATCAAATAAAAGGGGTACTTCTTTCCCAAAAAACTAGCTAGTTAGATGATGAGTTAAAGGGGTACTTCTTTCCCAAATGAAACTACTTTGAATCTATTTTTTAAAATAAAATGAGTGGTAACAGACACTTATGACTTGACTTTCTTTTAACTTTCATGTTGTCACGAATAAAACCAAGACTTGAACAAACCCTCAACACGATCAGTCATTCACATCTGTTGACTTCAAAAGATATAAAAACCAACACACATCTCACCCAAGAGTCTTTAATAAGGCCATAAACATCCATAGTATACATACATATAACGTCTCCAGGATCAAATAAATGAATCTACATTTTTTGATTGCCATGTAAAATATCACACAAGGTGCCACTCCCACAGAAACATGTGATAGTGACACTTAAAATGTCAGCTGTTTTTATTGAATCATGTTTATTTCTGTCAACACTTAAAACCTTTGAAGGATGCCTGTTGTCAATTTCAGCTGGCATTTCAAAAGTAAAGGGTTTGGCCTTTATCCGGAGTAAATAATGAACACCACTCAGTTTGAGATCTAGATTGTCTAACTGTTCATCAAAACTGACTTTTGATATTGCCAGGTGTGGTAACTATTTCTCAATCCAAAATACAATGTGATGCCTTTAAGTCCTTTGAAGTAGATATAAGATCACAGTGTAAATACTACATAATTCTTTTTTTTTTCAATATTAACAGATCTTCAAGACCCATGCATACTCCATTTAGATTGGGTGATAACTTTCACTCAGAGTTCACATTATGGGACCTCCTATAGAGAAGTAATAAGATCTTAACAGAAGAGGTATCATGTGGGTATAAATGATCTGATTTTAATGATATTTGAATAAAATTGAACAAACTTTAACATAGTCATTAAAAATTTCACAATAGCATCTGAAACAAAATTCACTTGTCAGCAAACAGTTAAGTGTCCTTCTAGCCCCCATCTTATTTCTACTACTTCATCCAATGTCCCAGGTTTTTTGTTTCCAACAACAAATACTGACACAACATGGAGACTTTGAGCTACAACAAGCAACAAACACAGTGTGAGAAAGAATCAAATAGTCGTTTAACAGACATAGCTTGAAATGTTCCATTCAGATGCAAAATACTACTACTAAAACTAAGCATCACAGTCATACTACTCAAGATTTGATAAGGATATAGAGATATTTAATGCTTTGAAAGGTTAGACAACAACAATATAAGACAAAGTGTACTTAATGTCTATAAAACAAATGTCTATTTCAACTTTAAATAAAATTGACAATGTGTCTGTGGAATATCTCTAGCAACAATTTGGTAGTATATTTTCATAATTCATCTGTCAATTATAATATGTATAAAGGAATACAAAGAAAGTTATTTTACTGAATTTTAATTTAAACATGTGATTCTACCACAGTCATATGATTATAGTTATAAAATGTTATTCATCATATTAACTTTTGCATCCAGTGCTAACACAGTATCACCAGCTAATGACCGTGTATAAACAATCACACCAACCCCGCTGTAAGTCTACATATAAAACTGAGTACATTGTTACACGTCTTCTAACAATATGACAGTGAACAAAATAGCTGCCTGCCTGCTGTCCTGCTATTTCTGTGAGGATAGATGAAATTTATTCCTACCCACTAAACTATCTCGTACAAACAGTCAGTGTAGATTTACTGTATTACAAAATGATTTACTCCAGATTACAACTCAAATGGCTGGTGTAATTTTTGGCTGCAGGTTTGTTATATACTCTAGAATGCTGGCCAGCATCTTCCATAACAGGCAAGTTCCATGTACTAGTTGAAAGTAACAATTGTTTCAGACAATATTATTCCATGAATAAAGTCCATTTCGCTCCATATTTACCCAACTGATTAACTCCTAGTAATACTCTCTAAGCTGATCAGGGATAGAACTCAAAACATTTAGTTGTGGTATATATATTAATTACATTACTATCAAAACATTTAATTTCTTTTTCAATTTTCATAAAATATGGGTTTTTTTGTGTATGACACAGCATAAACCATCAAGTTATTGCAGCGATGAAGAGAGAATATAAAAACAAAACTGACAGTTTTGCCAATTTTCTATTCATTACAGGGAGGGGCGGTGGGGTAATCTAACGATTAAAGCATTCTGTTTTCACCCAAAAGACCAAGGTTTGATTCCCTAGCTGGGTACAGTATGTGAAGCCCATTTCTGGTGTCCCCTGCCATGACATAAAAGTGTCATAAAATCATACTCACTCACTCCAAATCTTTTGAGAACATGATATGTAGGGTGGACATAAGTTCCAAGGGACACAACTCATTCTTTTCCCAAATCAGATATTTTTTTGCTCTTCTTGGGTTGGTTTGAGGTATAAATGAAACAGGAACAATACAATAAATTGGCATTGAGGCACATGAAAACAAAGAGAAATCAGGAGATGATGATGGTCATAGTCTGGTGAGTAATCCTGTGGGAAGTGTTGTAACTGGTTGCCTCGAAGAGCAAGTGCGTCATCACAACCCAACAACAGCAAAGAACAGTGCTCACACAACAAACCAATGCTTAGTCAGCTCAATACATACAGATGATGACAGGTGCTATCTCAGTAAAATCACCGGCTCCGTGGTGTAGTGGTTAGAGCGTCCGCCCGGAGAGTGGAAGATCGCGGGTTCAATCCCCGACCGCGTCATACCAAAAGACGTTAAAATAAGGTTCTTGTTGGTCCCTGCCTGGCGCTCGGCAATAATGGGTACAACAAGGACTGGTCGGCTCGGAGTCAGTATAATGTGTTTGAGTGGGGTATTCATGCTTCACTGCGGCATGGTATCTCAGTGGGCTAGCACTATAAAACCAGCTTAAGTCTGGGCTAGTACAAGCAGCCGCACATACACATACACACGCATGCACGTCGTCATATGAGCGAAATATTCTCAAGCACGACGTTAAACCCAATTTCACCTCACCTCTCAGTCAAATCAGTTCTCTTACTTAGGTTGGATACCCCTCTACATCACTTTCTTACAAGCCCAACACAGTAGGTGATGTCAGGTGAACTTCCTCACCAGCCAATCAGCATACTAGTTTCTAAGTTTGATAGGTTGAGCAAGAAAGCATTCAGTGTAGGTCATGTGCTTTTGGCATCTCAAACACAAATGATGACGCACCCTGTCAGTTTTCTGAGAACTATGGCATCTATGAGCCAAAAAGGACTAATAACAGAACATTTATGTTTTGTGTGATTCTTTTGTCCAGATCAAAATTTCAAAATGAGATGCAGAAGGTTAGATTCACAATGAGTGAATCAGTGAGTGAGTTTTAGTTTTACACCACATTTAGCAATATTCCAGCAATATGATTGCAGGGGATACCAGACTGACAATGAATCGAGGCATGAAAATAGTCAGCATAATTCTTAAAAATGGCTGACATCTAAATGGCTGAAAACACACATTTATCTTTCATTTTGAAACATCGATGATCAGTGAAGTGTTTGACTGTCCTTATGACATTTCATAGCTAACTCTGGTATTCACAACATAAAGCCCAATACCTTTACTAAGTTCAATCCCTGATCAGAGCATAATTACCTTTGTTAATACCACTGGTGTTATTTATAACCATACCACAGTTATCAATCACCATTATCCCATTTTATGATTAACTGGAACCGTTAATTAGTTTCCATCACATCTGTATCTACCTCTAACATCACATATATATGACTACCATGGCTAAAACACCTCAACCTCAACACACTCACTCACACACAAACAGAACAAAACATCAAATGCAGATGTTAAAAGTATTTCCCAGACAACTGTTCTTGTTTCAGTAGAATATTCTAAACAGAAATGTTATTTTATGGTTTTCTCCAAAATGTTTAGAAATTCTAGAATTAAAGCTTTAGTCACATAGACAAGACACAGTTGTAATCAGTCAATTATGGGGTATTTTATAACATTGAAACTATTCAGAACAAGAGAGAGTTCAAAGTTGTTGTCCAGTGTCCATATTTATAAGCATTCACTTTGTTTTCAATCTGAAAGGTAAAATATGCAGCTACACATTTCCTCATTACAAACCAAACTTTGAACATGAGATAGAATGCATTAATCACTGTGGTGTTTCACGTTTTGGTTGGTTCTGAATTTGTTGACTGTTAAGACTTAAGATTTTTAATAATAAGCTTATGTTGTAAATTACATTTCTATTCTTGTAGGCATCCCAATTCATTATCAACATTACTGAACGATCATTATCATATATATATAATGTTGTTGTTTTTTTTGTAAATTTTACTAAGGCCAGACCAATTTTATTTCTTGCTTTACAGGTTTGTCCTCAGAAAACCTAAAGGCAGGAAGGAAGAAACAGTCAAAGCAAAAACCCACATGAGTTTTTCAAAGGAATTGTTTTACAAGTTCACACTCACTGAGGTGCTCAAGCACTGATTTCTAACACAAACATATTGATTATACATTGTTAGATAATTCAGTTTAAAGTCTCTGAGAACAGATACCGGTGTTTTAGTGTCCAACAAACTGCCTTGCGTGGTCGAAGTCTCGCTCCCATACATCTTAACATTAGGATTTTATTTTTTGAGTGGGGAAAATTTATTTAATTTTTTTTTATCTTATTCTCGAAAAAATACAAGATCTATAAAACAAGAAATAAAATTGATCTGGCCTAATCAATCAATAACTACAAATGAGCAAATATACTACATAATTTTTCTAACTGATCAGTAAGTATATAATTCAATTCAAATTCAAATTTTCAGACTCAAAACTTGGTAAATCTAAAGGAATATCTAAATATTGCATCTGCATGGAACATGTTGCCATAAAATGGTTTGAAAAAATGTCTCAGCTGTTAATATATTTGTAGAATGATATCCTGATTGATAGGTAAAGAGGGCAGAGTGAAGCACCCCTTATACTTATCTAATAGTGACAAGTATACCTTGTCTCAAATCATATTCCTGAAAGTATTTGTTGATGAAACAAATGATGGTGATGATTAAAATAACAATAGCAGTTACAATGTTGCTGATAATAATTTTGAAACATTAAAACGGAGCAATTTCAAATGTTCAGAATACTCTACTTAATTGTCAAATTATGTTTTATCAAACAGGTGTCAATAAACCTCTGCTACTTACCTGATTCACGTTGTGCAGTTTGCGAGTGTATTCTCGGAGCATTGCAGGATCAAGGTTATTCGGCTTATCAGTGATTGGATGAAGTGTCTCTACTCGAGGGTAGACACGGGGACTCACTCCACCTTTGCTGAAATAGTTACAAGAAATAAAATCAGTTTGGGAGGAAGTTTTTTTTAGTGAATTGATTGTTTAATATTATTTAAGCACTTTAGTGCATTACAAAATACTATCATAAACAAAGCTTAGGCTTTTAAACTTGAATTAACTGTGGAAAATCCAATCCACTGATATTAATTATGACATCTTCTACTTCTTTTTAATCATCCCCATATCCACTTTGAATCAACTTCAAAACATCTTTCTTCAACTGAAATTCCTGCATGTAATTCAAATGAAAATGTTATTCAATATTTTCAGTGATAATAATTACTACAGTAACAAACTCACAAATGTACATTTCATAAGTAACGTTTTGGTTAAACAATATAATATTTTGCATAAAATAACCTCATATTCTCATAAAGAAGTTTTCTTATGCAATACCCTCAAAAAGATATAATTCCCTCATAACTTGAATATTCTAAAACTTCAGGCTAACAAAGCACATACAGCTGCTATGTAATCAAACAATATTTTCAATCACAGTGGTATGAACAATCCTTTATCTAGAGTGATTGGTTCTTCCTGTTCTCACCTGCAGAGACGGGAATCTCCCTTAAACCCAATACCCTTTCAAGATGGATAACAAAATCTGATACAATATGTTTGCATACTGTGGGGAAATGACCCCCATCAAACACTACAAACAAAATACAATTCACTAATAAACACATCCTATGATGGTCAGACAATATTTTATACCTTTCATGTTTATCAGTGAGGATCAGCACATTATTGTGTCTAAATCCATTGTGCCTATCCACAATAATGAAGCTTGTGTTTTCTTTTGGGGTCATTATTTTGAAAGTTTAGTGTTAATAAGCATCATGATACATAACAAAATATAATAATGTTTATTATTCTGATTGTGTACAGATAAAATTTAATTTCAAAGGTCTGCAATTATGAATTTAAGGCCTAAATATGAAATAAGCCTGGGAATTAATTCTCATCCAATTCACTGTCCATGTACACGTTAATCAAGGTAATTTTGATAACTATGAAGATAGTGAAGAGACAACATGAAAAGAGACAACCTTTGTTGACCTAATTGTAGGTTTGAACAGGCAAGAATCTGTGTTGTGTTTACCTTGTAACTGTTCTATTTTCATACACAAAATATCACTGATAGAGAAAACAGTGAGCACTGACAACAAATACTTCATTCAAAGTGAATATTAACTACACGTTCCAGTTGTAAACTTCTATAAAAACTACAAAAAATATTTCTTAAATATGCCGTATAGCAGTAAACTGCCACCATTCTTGTATCCTGGGAGTGAATCTGTGTAACATGGAACCCTAAATGTGTGGTGGCTGCATGTTACTACCAGACCTTTACAAGAGTCAGCCTGTTGGTGTGAACACTGTACTTAGATAGACACAAACATGCCACTTACATGCACGTTTATAATGATAAGCACTTTTGAAATATGGAAGTGATTTTTAACAGGTAAACTTTATGATCCTTTTATCAACAAAATAAAAACACAGCATTGTGGTTTTAAATCTAGTTTTCCACACATAAGGTCCTTGGTTGGCATTATATACTACTCAAAAGATGTTAAAGAACACCTAATGCTTTCATATTACCACTGTTAATCTGTAAGGTGTGCAAGAAGCTAAAGGACACGTGATTATTCCATATTACTATAGTTAATCTGCAGTGACGTGACCCGGGTCCGATTCCCCACATGGGTACAATGTGTGAAGGCCATTTCTGGTGTCTCTCACCGTGATATTGCTGGAATATTGCTAAAAGCGGCGTAAAACTAAACTCCCTGCAGTGACGTGACTGAGTAATTTGAAAGCATTGGGTGTTCCTTAACTTCTACTGAGTAGTATGTATATTTAGGTCATTTTAATAATAAACATCATCTTTGGATTGAATTTATATAACCAAATATCTGTCATATATTCTAAAGAAAAACTCTGTAGCACTACCATACTCATCCTTTAACTTGTTTGATGATAAATTTATCTCAGGGTAACAGTACATTTAAGCCTTTTAGACAGCATGATCTTGAAGAAAATAGTAGGGGAGGTCATAGCGTCCGTATCAAATCACAAAGAGTACATAAACACCTGAAGGATTGACCAAGATTTGTTTTTGTGTATGGGAGAGAAGACTGTGATCACTGAACATGGCAACATTTTCACTGTCTTATCAATCAGTGATTTCTTTGAGTGGTATTTTAGATGTTGGGAAGTACAATATTGAACAAACTTTTTGGATAACAACTTCTTTAAGTTCATGAGTGCGATGTTTAGATACAGATTTTTGAACATGCAATTATTTAAAAAGAAGTTGTTAGCCATAACGTTTGTTCCATATTATCAATCAGTGGTCACATCAAGGGAAATAACTCTTCATGCCAAGTCTCTCAATAACTTCCAGTGACCCAAGTTTTCCCTGAGTTTAAACTTGTATTACTCATACAAATACATCAATCCTGTAATATCTTGGTATCTACTAAACAATATGATCAAGATAATGTTACTCTTGCCTACATGTTAAATAATGTGGAAAAATCTATAAGCTAGCAGTATTAGTATTATACTACACAAAGACAATTGGTATCTATAGATATAATGTTAACTACGAAGATAATATATTAGATCAGGTGTTCAAAGTTGATTATATGTGTGCATACAGTGCAACTAAATTAGTAAGTCAATCAAAGATAAGAGAAATCACTAAATCACAGAAAACAATACTGTGTCCTTTATATTTTTTATTGTTTAATGTCGCATTCAGCAACAGTCCAACTATATGGCGCCAGTCTGTGAAAAATCATGTCTGAACCAGACAATCAAGTGATCAACAGCATAAGTATTGATCTACGTAATTGGGACAACTTGTCAACCAAGTCAGTGAGCCTGACCACTTGATCCCGTTAGTCACCTCTTACACAAGCATGGGTTGCTGAAGACGGGTCTGTGTCATTTATATAACACAGCAGTATTGGAAATTGTAAAAAGGGAGATGACAGTGACAGTGATGGCGATGATCATGACAGTGATATACATTCTTGCAAGTTATAATTTTAAGCAGTTTTCAACAAACAATCAATCATCACATCACAAAGGCACATGCATCTACCAATTACCATATCTGTTCTCAGAATTTAAATACAACTAGGGCAGAACTTGTGTTCCAATCAGTTTCTTGTCTACAATCTTTCATGATAAATTTAGATTATCATTATCACTCAAATTCACGGTGAAATAATACAGCAAAATGTTAACTGCAAACTTTCAATGGATGTGGACTGATCAGAGCTATGACTCATGATATGACACATCTGGTTGCATGCTGTTAAACAGGTAAACTGGTGACATTCATTTGCCCAGTATGAGTGCATATGAGATTTGGAGGATTTTCTTTTGACTAGTGGCATTTCAAGAACAGACATTAACCTGACTAAATTTATAAATCTCTCAGTTAAAAAGCATAAATACTTTACAGCTACATAACCTATTAGAAATATGAATGCATAAACATCAGAACACCAGTATGACTTATTGAACAGTGTGTGAAATAAAGCAGAAATTCAAGGGTCATGTCCTAATTATAAAATGAAACAGGATATCCCTCAATTGAAACAAAGTTCTGTTGATTTAAACAATTGCTGAAGATGTAAACATTGCTATAGAAGACAGACAGCAAGACAATACTTTCCGTCAAGAACCTACTGCAGATTGTTGTGTTGACTATGCATTAGGATGCAGGTGTAAGAACAGACATGGCATTGCTAACTAGGTACAGCCTGAATACACTGTTACTTACTCTGTATACTGGTCAAGGAGAAATCTGAATACAAAATGTTCATATAATAAACACTATGATGAGGGTATCTTCCTGAGGCAAGGGAGTTAACTCACTTAGAAAGTCCAGTTTCCATTAGACTTAAAGGTCACTTCACTCCCTTGCTTCAGGAAGTTTGGTTTATTGTTTAACACTGAACTCGGCAATATTCCAGCTATATGATGGCAGTCTGTAAATAATCGAGTTTGGACCAGACAATCGGATACGATGACATGTGTTGCCTCAGGAACTTGTGATGGGTCTACAAATGTGTTATTTCCTGCTTTGGGTGATGCCTTGTCTGATGAATAATATAGGCTGTATGCTGGAATATATTAGAATTACTAATTTGACCTAAGTCTTACTACTGTCTGCCAAGGGAAGTAACTTCTGAATAATGCTTTGGGATGGCCTCTGGCAATTTGATAAATTCAGATTTCCCCAAAACAGTTTGACTCTACCTGCCTAAGACTAACATCTTCTCAAGATTTACCACTCTCATGATTTCGTGGGACTGACATTTAAATATATGCAAAACACATGAACAACTTAATACATTGTATGGGATCTCTTTTGTTTTGAAAGATTTCTGTACAGTTATTCCAAATTTAGATATTTAACATAGTATGTGCTTTCACTTGTTGCTTCTGTGATGCAAATAATAAGTATATGCACAATCAAAATGAGCAACAGAAATTATAGAAAAATTATATCCTATGTTAATGGAAGGATTTAATCCTACAATGGTCAAAATCATTAATATGTTCCCCTAAACAAGCTGTGACTTGTCTGCAGTTTCCTGTCTGAGACAGCTACAATAGTGGTCCTAATATCTAACCCAGATCTGCTGTTGGTCCCTGGCATGACATTCCTCCAGCCCAAACGACAAATTAACACTCATATTTGCTTAGAACGGATCATAAACATTCTATGGTATCTTCAAGCCCCCATAAGCCAGGCATTAGTATTGTCAATGACGCTACTCAAGCATGTCTTATCGGTGAATGTGATGGTGCTGTGGCAAGGTGAGTGTCCACTTTCTGCCACCACTATGATGTTGAAGTTTCTTTGAATGATTTGAACACAGAGCACAAGGGTGTGATTGAAGTCATAGGTTAAGGGTCATTTGACCCACAGGTAATTTATTGGGTCATTTCCAA